TCCTTGGACACAGAAGTAAATGGGCTGCATCCTCGATAATCAGGGAGGGCTTGTGCTTTATTGCAGCTTTAAAAAAATAATTAGTCAAATGCAACAAACCATGCTATCCACCATTTGGACAGCCCCCATAGGGTGATAGGAGATTAGTTAATACTTCAGAGTTGTTGGAAGTGGTGTGACAGGGATGGTGGTTTCTGTTCTTCGCCTTCACAGCTGCATGGGGCCTGTCAGTGACAGATGGCTGAGCCCATGTGGACAATTTGGTGCCAGTATAGCCCAGCAGAGTGCCTGGAATGTGATTGTGTCTATCTCTTTGCCTTTCTTTATCTTTCCATGCTCTCTTTGTTCATCCTCTTTTATCAATCCCCATTTCTGATTTTATTTGGTACACAGGAGAAAACACTTAACACCCCATTAAATTGGTCACAGAATGTTGTCTGTTGCATAGTTTTGGAAGGTATTCGTCCCTCGGTGCTCCTCTCCGCAGGTGCCACGGAGTGATATTTTAAGCTTGCTGCATGGTTGCACTCCCTCTCCCTGCTAGAGAACAGCTTGGTGCTACCTGTTGGAAATCATAGCAACCGTGGGGCATTGCAGTGATTCAGTACACACTAAATCCCAGGTGATGCTGGGTATGTATATGGATTTTTGTATTTATTTTTTCCTCAGCTCCATACTGAAATTTTAGTGTCTCAAATCTCAGTGGAGTTAAAGATGAAGGGTGGATTCAAATACCAAAAGTGTGAGTAGAATCTAGAATTTGCATTTACTATATGAGGGCGGCATCGTGCTGCAGTGGTTAGCGCTGTTGCCTCACAGCAAGGCTTTTCCAGGTTCAAGCCCCAGCTGACCTGGTGCCTTTCTCTGTGGAGTTTGCATGTTCCCCCTGTGCCTCTGTGGTCTCTTTCCTGGTACTCCAGTTTCCTTCCACAACCCAAAGACATGCAGCTTAGGTTGATAGGAAACTGTAGGAGTGTGTGTGTGTGGTTGGTTAAACTTTCTTATGACATACTGTAAATGTAATAAAAAAGATATTGCAAAACTCAGACATTTTAGCTCTCTAACAAAAAACAATTTCATATTGAGACCAATATATCACACACAAGTCTGTATGTCCACACCATCCTCTGCTCAGCTGTGATGTTACTCTGCCAACTCGCACACTATCTGAGCTGAGTATTGTCAGCAGTCTGCTCAACAAACTATCCAAAGACAGACAGGTGACAGACTTTTAGACTTTTTCAAGGCCAGCTCCATCTTTCCTAACATGTATTGTCATTTTAAAATAACTAATATCTTATCACTCCTGTGAAGATGACTGTTAAGGTAGATTGTGTGACACGTTCATCTGTCATTCACATACATCCAATGTTACCTGTTACAACAGAATACAACAAACCGAAGTGCAATGTACATGTATAGGCCTACTTTGAAATTAATTAAACGCTGAACTATGTAGGCCTCTGAGTCCTTCCCATATTTGCGTAAAATTAAAATAAAACGTAGCCCACTTTAATATAAAAAAAAAACATACAGTTGCAGCTTAGCAGTTTTAAAGAAGTAAACATAAAATTAGGAACGTATTTTGACAAGTCCATTTCAGTGTGCTCTCATCCTCTTCAGGTTTCTTTCTCGGCCAGAAATCAACTGAAAGACCTGAACATACAATAAAAAAACTACATCAGCTTTGGGTCTGAAACAAATGTTGTTGTTTTTTCTGAAAAATACTATTCTATTAAATGCTAGTGTTCTCACCTGTTTAATGTGCCTTCTGTTTCTGAAGCTTGATGCTGATCTTCCCTATGTCGGGGCTGGAAGATGTGACTTTGGTCTTCACACAGGACTGTAGGCTCTCATTTGTGAGGAGGGAGCGATATTTGGTCTTTATGAAGCTCATGCTCCAGAAAACTTGCTCACATAAGTATGTAAAGCCAATGATGGACAGGACTCCAAATACATACTTTTTCATGTCATATACGTGTCGAGAATCAAGTCTTTATCCGCTATTTTAACGATCTATTTTAACAACCTATTACCAGTTCA